TGAGAAGTTGAGTGACCCTTACGAAATCCATATTGATCTGGATGAAAGTAATTGTGTTTGTCTAGGAAATCTATCAATCTGGAATGCATGGCCTTTTCGAAGATTTTGGATAATATTGGCACTAAGGTAATAGGTCTGTAGTTATTTGGATCCATCCTATTGCCTTTCTTATGTAATGGTTTTACAATAGAGATTTTTAGCTGCTCTGGAAACTTCCCCTCGGCAAATGATAGATTTATAAGGTGAGTAATCGGATGGCATATAAAAAAGGCACACAATTTAAGAATGTATGTAGTCATATTGTCGTAACCACTGGCTCTGCTATTATTTAAAGATAAAATAATTTTATAAGTTTCATTTATATCTATAGGATTCAGAAATATTGTAGAAGGATTAGTATCATGAATAATTGATTGAAATGTCATGTGATGCTTCGTAGAGTCATTTTTGTTCGTCAAGTTTGTAAAAAAATTATTAAAAATATTGCTAATGTCAAAAGGATTATTGTATATTTGATTATCATAAGAAATTGAATTAATGTCATATTCATGTATATTATTCGAAGTCATCGATGATATTGTATTCCAGGTGGCTTTACATTTGTTTTTATTATTTCGTATGTACCTGTTATTATTAATTCTTTGTGCACATAAAATACATTTCTTTAGAATGGTGTTATATTTTTTAAGTTTCGTTTTAATTTCTGATTTTCCGTATTTTATGTTTTTGTATTTAAAAAATAAAGAACGCTTATTTTTACATGACTTTTTAATACCTTTTGATAGCCAAATTAGTTTATTGACGCGATTATTAATTTTAACTTTGATTATTGGAAAACAAAGGTCGTAAAAAAGACGTACCATATCATAAAAACATTGGAACGCACTAACAAAATTGTTGTTAGTCAATACATCAGAAAAAGAAAGAGACGACAGACATTCACAAAATTTGGATACGTTGTAGTTACTATAATCACGTTTCAGCTCAAACCAAGTAGAGTAATGTTTTTGTTTATTTTTTACCTTTATCTGAAGTGTTTGAGCTGTTTCATGATCCGATAACCACAGATAATGAACTTCAGGAATTGCCGATTTTATATTACTAGCAATTTGGTCAATGCATGATTTTTTCCTGGTTGGTTCATTTATGTGAACCTTTAAGCCATGGTTATGTAGTGTATCTAATAAATCATTAGTGGCAGAATCTTTTTTCAAAATATTTATGTTCCAGTCACCGCACAATACAATTTTTCTGTTTTTACATTTAGTTGTAAACAAATACAGTAGTTTATCCAGTTTGTACAGAAATATTCCTATGTGTGATTTCGTTTGGACTGGTATTCTGTATATATTTACTACTACAATACCCAGTCCCAAAATTTCAACGCCACAACATTCGAAATAGTAGTCTGTGGCCAAATCTGATATAAAAGATACTGATTTTGCCTCTAATGTATTTTTAATCATTATACACGTCCCGCCCCGCTTTTTTTTACGAGAAAAATTAGCTACCATTTTATAATTACTCAGCTTAATGTTTTTTTATTCAAAAATTTTGTAATTTAATATCACTAAAACTATTTGACCTAGACTTATAATTTTTTTTACATTATATTAAAGACAAATAGTACTCTCTAGGAACCTCGGGAGTGTCGGTCGTTCTGTTCCACCTAGTATGTGCAAGCCTCTATAGACCAAATTTCTCAAGCCATCAGTATTTTAAACAGTGATTTAGACCTGATTTGTAATTGGAGTAGATATATGGTTTGAAAGTCAATCCTCTTAAAACAAAAGTCATAGTCGGTAATTCTATAATGACCAATAGAATAAATTTTTCACAACTACCAGCAATTACATTTGATGGTGTACAACTAATCCCATGTTTTAATTTCCTTCATAATACACACACTATAATGTTGAGGTCATCAGCGAACTTGAAATTGTCAATACCGATGCATGACAGCAAATTTATTCATAAATCATTTACAGTCCAAGCTGCACGTCTTTGGAATGCATTGCCAGAAAATATCAGGCGTGCTCAAAGCATACACATTTTTAAGGAACTAGTCAAAGAGCATTATCTGTCACTCACTCTGAATCCCGTTTGATTCTTATCTGTCATCTAACTAAGGACTTATATGTATGTTATATATAAATATATATGTATTATAGAATTTACAGTATTTATGTATTTCATTTATTCATTAAATATGGGTAGAGATATGATATCATAATAAAGTTTGAGACACCATAAGCTACCCTAAATCTAATCTAAAGCAGATATAATTTTCGTTCAGTTCACAAGGTTGCCTGGAAGAAATTACTTTTTAGTAATAAGGCCGCCAATTGTGCATTCACATTTATTGTATCCTTATATTTGTTTCTGTCCATTGGTGTACAATAAAGAATTTTTCATTCATTCATTCATTCATAAATATAGAGAAGAGTAAAGGTGAGAGGACTCCTCCTTGCGGTACACCAGCCGATAAGTTCAGCCACTCAGAGGAACCATCATTGAAAATTACGCACTGAAAACGATCGAAGAGATATGATCTGAACCAATAAATTACAGGGGTAAAAATGTTAAGCGATCGGAGAACACCAAGCAGAATATCGAAGTCAACACAGTTAAATGCACTGCTGAAATCCAAAAGAACCATGGCAGTAAGTTTGGTATTATCCATATCACAACGAATATCTTCCGTGATATTCAGCAGCGCACCAACTGTGCTGTGTGCAGGGCGGAAACCAGATTGATAAGGACATAATAAGGTATTAGATACAAGGAAATGGTAAAGTTGATGGTGAACGATGGATTCAAGGACTTTAGATAGTATTGGAAGAATAAAAATAGGACGAAATTGTGAAAGTGAAGATGGATTAGGAGTTTTGGGAAGGGGTATGACATGGGCTTTTTTCCATGATTCTGGAAAGACATTGTTTTCCAAAGAGAAATTTACAATGTGTGTGATAATTGGAGCAATGTCCTCCAGAGCAGGATGTATCATGTTAAAACTAAGACCGTCACTCCCAATCGCCTTAGTGGAAATGGATTTGATACTCTTTGTGACATCTTCCTCAGAGACTATACTGAAAGAAATGGAGGGAAAGTTATGGGTTTTATCTATGCTGGACAATAAGGAGAGTGTGCCAGACTTTGTGGCCATATCTAGAGTAAGGGGAAGTGAAGTGAAGTGCTTATTGAGTGCATTAAGGTCAACGATACTCTGGCTCACATCCGCAGTCTTACCAACGCCTAGCGATCTTAAAAACCCCCACAAGTGCTTCTGGTCTAAGTTTTCAATTTGGTCGTGAATATATTTGCGCTTAGCATCCCTACACATTCGATTACAAATGTTGCGCAGCTTCTTGTAGATTTGCAAATGTTCAGTAGATGGTGTTCTTTTTGTCTACTTTTGGCCCGGTATCGACTAGCCATTACTTTCCGGATAGCTGGAGTTAACCATGGAGCGGGCACATGTTTGACACGAACAGGGTGTACCGGAGCATGTACGTCATAAATATTCGTGAGAGTAGAAGTAAAGTAGCATACCATAGCATCGATATTATTACTGAGTAGCACTGGTGACCAATGTATATTTCTTAAGTCATCTCTCAAGCGTTCCAGAACCATTTGCTTAAAGTTGCGTAGAAGACGGGTTCTAGGTTTAATTTTGGGAGGGCGCACTTTAAGCGACAGAAAAATTAAGTCATGGTAGGAAAAAGGAGCAGTCATTTGCCCATGAGTACCCACCAGATCAGGATGCGATACAATCATAAGATCTAAAAGCGAAGGTTTACAGTTGGGGAAATAATGAGTAGGAGACGTCATGGGAAGCACGTGAAGATTAAGAGATAAAAAGAGATTAACTAGTTTACTTGCCCTAGCATCTTGTTTCAACAGACATGTGTTAAGATCACCCATGAGTGACGTGATCAAAAACAGGAACTAGGTTTTCGAGAGTATTTTCCAAAGAGTTGAAGTAATCTATTTGATCATTTGGACTATACAAAGCTCCCAAAAGCACTTTTTTGTGATGGACGATTACTTCCACGAAAATATATTCAATGGAGTTGGTGTAGTTAGACGGTGAACAATTGATTACCTTGGCCGGTATGTGATCAAGCAGATAAACACCAACGCCACCACCACCCATGCTAGTGCGATCATTGCGAAAAAGCTTATACCCTGGAAGAGAACAACATGAGGAAGAGAGCGAAGGTTTTAACCAGGTTTCAGAGATAAGTATACAATCGACTAAGCCGCTGCCAAAATATGCAATAAGATCGGTATGATGTGCCAGAATACTTTGCGCATTGATATGCACGAAGGAGAGGAATTTTAAATTTTGACCAAACGTCTCTGATAGCTTGACGTCTAGCGGTTTGAAATCGGTCAAGGAAGAAACGCTACTGTTAGCACTCTCGTATTCATCAGACGAGCAAGAACAAATATCATCGTATAAAGCCATATACAATAAATGAAATCAATAATAAATAACACTAATACCTACAGAAAAAAAATAATAATAAAACCAAAACTAAAATAATCATCTTACACGTGCCCAAGTTGACCAGAAAAAGACAACTCCAAATACCATGGTAACATAACATTTATAAAATAAGGAAGCAAGATCAAATTAAAATAAATATAAAAGCAATGTTTCGTATGGAAAGCAAAAGTGTTTAATACTACTTTCTAAACGTGGCTGTATGACCAAATATTTCTTTGCCTTCCATATTAAACAAACGTTGTTTGATATGACAGTGACACTACTTGACATTGACAATTTAAATGTTTGTGAATAGATAAACAAATTACAGGGTATCAACGGATGCAAATTCAGTCGAAAGTTATACAAAAATACTTTATAAAATAATAACATACCGCCAAATTCGTAGTGATAACTCGGCAAAGTAACGGAGCACAAACAAAAGGATGATGTAATCAAAAAGTTCATCTTTTATTATGTGACACTTCTGCCGACTGAACCGGGTATTTCAGAATAAGCTGTTGGAGTTCACTGTTACAGAAGATCTTCCTTCTAGTGCCGTCAATACAATGATCGTACCTTCAGTAGATTAACACTTTTTCCTCCCGAAGTGCTTGCGAGCCGCGACAAATATATCTTGCCTTGCCTTAGTCAGGAACTCAGACAGTGTTACATTGGAACCCTTCAGTGAAGTTTTCCTGTTCCACACTGCCATGCGATGCTTCATTGTAGTAAAACGCACTAGAATGGGACGAAATACATCTTTCTTTTTAGCACCAAGCCGATGACAAGTCTCAATTGTATCGGAACCCAATCCAACCATCTGCATTTGGTTGTTTAATACTGCAAAAATCTTCGAAAGCACAACCTCATCTTTATCTTCTCTGATTCCATGAAGTAGTAGAACCTTTCTGCGTGAATGTGTGTCAAGACAATTAACACCCAAAGCCTGTGATTTGATTATACCGAGCGACTTCCACACAAATGTTTTAAAGGAAGAAAAGTCTGCTGCCAATGATTTCACAGTTTTATTGGACTTTCGCATACCTGGTTGCTGAAGATTCTTTTCAAATTCAGACATCCTGTCGCTGAACAATGATGTAAGATCCTTCAGATTGTTTAGTAGTTGTTCTGCTGTTGCATCCATGATATTTTGGAGATAGTGTGTGTGAAGGTATATGAAACTTCAACTTAGCCACAGGAGAAGTTAATTTCTAACCATAAGGTTTAGTTTATTTTTAAATAATAAAATATAAGGAGCTAATAGTTTTTGGTATTTTCGGTTTAGAAGCTACCCGCCAAAAAAAAAATTATAGTTACCTTCAACAACGACAAAACAAGTTTTGATTTGCTTCGCTTATACTGAATTTACATTGTCGCGAATCTAGCGCCTGTGTTTAGATGAAACCCACATAGCAGATTACAACGATAGCAATGAAATGAGATAATATAGAAATCACGTTAATATATTAATGAACCAATATGAATTCACCTTTTGAATTACTTAAGGAGGTAGGAGGATTCTAAGATCATGGCAGAATTTTTTACCCAGTCAGTCCTTGAGGCAGCTTCTTAGCCTTACAAGGTCAAGGCTTATCTACTCGTCGGGCGACTCGACCACTACTCAACTGGAAGCCGGTCATCGAGAGTCGGGTCGCTCGCATCTAAAAATTTATGGCACCCTCACTTCACACGTGTTGACGTGTGAAGTCCGGGGCCGATCGACTAACACACAGTCGAAGTGAGTTCCCTTATTATACTAATCAAACTTTTATGTTGGTAATGTAAACCATGACTGTCATATAAGATTCTAATTGGCCAATTTTACTTAGGTGATTCAGAACACACGGTGATTGGTGCATTCAAATCCTTAACACATATTAGTTACCATTAGCAAAAAATGAAACATAATGTTGCCTACTTATTTCAACCAAATTATCCTAGTAATAATAATGTTGCTATGTCGCTAGTTTGATATTATATTGAATTTGTAAATATTACCTGTTTTTCTCGCGATTCGTCGCGACAAGTACATACCAAATCTATCAAGCTAACAGAGTCAACGGAGTAGTGCGTACACTCATTCACAACCTGCCGCAAATCCAAACACTGCAGAAAATGATTAAGTTTTTTTTACATTAACACTTGTATAATCGATCACAATACTGTTGAAATCACTAACAAGTACGATGTATTCATAATTTGTAAAAGTCGCTATAGTCTCCGTTAATGCATCCAAGAATGAGTCAACATTTATCCATTGCTTTGGTTGATAGCCACATCTGTTCGATATTTACTTGAAGGTGATTTAAAAACCGCACACGTAAGGTTTGCTTAAGATAGAATGCAACTCCCCCACCTCTTCCTCTACGCATGTGTTGTGGACGAGGAAGATTCCGCAGCCGGTAACCTTAGACAACAGGTGCTCTTGCTTCCTGACCAGCAGGCAACCATGTCTCGTTAATAGCAACGATGTCAGCATCAAAACGAGTCATAGCTACAAGAAAATCATCGTGCCCAGTATTAAGCGATCCTGCATTATACTCGGTGGAACAGAACGACCGACACTCTCGAGGTTCCTGTTGAGTACTATTTGTCTTTAATATTATGTAATTTTTTTTTTAATGTAAAAAAAAATTATATAAACGCTGGACAAACGCCTATAAAACTTTTCACGGCAATTGTACCGTCATATATTGCTATTACTTTTATTACATGATGGACAACCGCAGAATTAATATTTTGTATACCTTCACTTAATAATTACAATTGTACTAAGTAATACGTAGCTCTGCGATATATTTCGATTCCATAAAATATTGTTAAAAAACACGTTTTGGGTTTCATTTGAGACTCCATTGTGTCCACTACGAGACATAAATTGGTGGCCCATGAGGAGAACATAAAACTCAAGAACAATTAAATCTAAGTCGAAACTATATACGGACATCAAGGTTCCAGCAGTACATAACCAAAGTGTACCAGTTCCTGTTTGTATCAAGACAAATTGAAGTCAACATTATCTCAGGACCTTATCTGTGCATTTTCAAAAGGAATTTCGAAAAATTTGAGGCATATTTACATCACGACGGCCCGAAAAAAGATAAGTGACCTTCATTTGTTCCTTCCTAAATTCACCCAAAGCTACTTAAATTGTCATTAAACTCGTGCAAATATTGTTTCTATTTAATATAACACCTATATTTAATTAGATATTTGCATTAGATATTATTATTTATTAAAATTACAGCAAAATTTGTTACCACGTGCTACGTGTCATTTGGTACATGGAAAAGAATAATAAAATCGTATAAAATCTCTAGAAATATCAACATATATTTATTTATTTGTTTTCTAATAACAATCTTAATTAAATTTTGTCGGTAAAAAGACAATAATTTAGTGTCTTAATTAATTATTCATTGTTCCCAAAGAAAGGACAAGTTCTACTTGTATAATTATTGTTTCTTAAATATTTATTTTCACACAATTTGCTGATAATTTCAGGGTTTTATCTAACTTGCCTCCTAGCAAGATATAGTAATCGAAAATCATATATACCTAATAAGTTATCGGCGTCGAAGCTACAAGCAAGTGTAATAAGATGGCGTCACGGTGAACCGGCAACCACCAAAACGAGGAACGTGAGCATAATCTTTTATATATTTTGATTTTATTCTTTATAAAAGTTAATAATTGTTTTGCAAAATGACAACAAGCAGAGAGACTTCACCAAAATTGAAGGAACTGTTGACTAGACGTAGTTCAATAAAGGGACAAATCACAAAATTTAAAAATTATCTAGAACAGTTGTCCGATGATCAGCTGACTAATATCCAATTTAATGAACTGCGTCTTAAAACAGCGAGGTTCGAAAGTTTGTCTGTACGTTTTGATGAATTACAAAGCGAAATTGAGGTCTTAAATTCGGAAAATATCTCTTTGGAAATAAATGAGCGGGATGATATCGAACGAGATATATTTTATAATTTGGCTAAAGCGAAAAGTTTTCTTGAAATACATAGTAACAATTCTAAAGATCAATCTGTTTGTTTCCACGACCATCAAGAACAAGGCTTTAGGTTGCCACAAATACAGATTTCTAAATTTGATGGAGCTTTTTTTCGTTGGCTTGAGTTTCGCGATGCCTTCGAAAGTCTTATTCATAATAATAGTAGAATCTCACATATTCACAAATTTCATTATCTTATTTCGTATTTAGAGGGTGATGCAGCGCGAATAGCTAATTTAGAAGTATCTTCGGCTAATTATGCAGAAGCATGGAACATTATTTGTGACCGATATAATAATAAATGGTCATTGATCAACCATCATCTTAAATCTTTATTTAACTTACAGCCGATTACCCGTGAATCCGACCGGTCGTTGAGATTTCTTGTAGATCATGTGACAAAAAACTTACGTGCCTTAGCTAGTCTAGACCAACCGACAAGTCATTGGGATATTTTGTTAATTTTTATGCTCACTTCAAAGTTAGATAACCAAACTTTAGTGAAGTGGGAAGAGTATCGCAATACTCTCGAGAATATACCTACTTTGGCTCAGTTCAACAAATTTTTGACAGACCGCGCCGATGTGCTCGAATCTCTCTCTCGTAACAAACCTGAGCTAAATAAAATTGTTCCATCTACAGTAGGACATTCTAATACATGTAATAAAATAAATCAAAAAAATAATAATCATCATAATCAAAACTATAAATATAATAGTCATCAAAATAAATATACAGTCACAAAGTCTTTTTCTGCTACTAACCAAAAGGTATCAACTTATTTGTGTGTTATATGTAATAACAATCATAAAATTTATGACTGTGTCATTTTCAAATCAAAGGGCATTACTGATCGGTTAGCGGATGTTTCCAAATATAAACTATGCGCAAATTGTTTGAGACAAGGTCATCCTGTTGAGGACTGTCGCATGGGTCCTTGCAAGGAGTGTAAAAAAAGACACAACACACTTCTTCACGAAACCATGACAGAAACAACTAATAATGTTGCTGTTGGCAGTGAAATTGTTTCAAGCTATTCTGATCAGTATTACTCGCAAATTTTATTAGCTACAGCTCAAGTAGAGGTATCTAACCCCGTTACAAAGCAAAAGGTAAGGGTAAGAGCACTTCTAGATTGCGGTAGCCAGTCGTCTTTTATCAGTGAATCATTGATGAAACGACTGTGTCTAAAGCCCCGTACTGTTAATACTATTGGTATTATTGGAATTGGCAACAACTGCAGCAACAATGTGACTAAAACTTGTACTGCCGAAATAAGCTCTATAAATTATAAGTTTCGATTAAATTTATCTTGTTTTGTTTTAAACAATATTACCAGTGAGATACCTAAAGCTCATGTAAAAGTGCAAAACTTACATTTACCTAAAGGTCTACGTTTGGCTGATCCCACTTTTTATCAGCCAGCGGCTATTGATTTGCTCATTGGAGCTGATGTGTTCTGGGACATTCTAGGAAATGAACAACGCTCTTTGGGTATCAATGGTCCTAAACTGAGAAATTCTAAATTGGGTTGGTTAATATCTGGACCAATGCATTCATTTATTGCTAAAAATATCAATTGCAATACTGGCGTACTGCAGCCTACATCCAAAGAAATTGATAAAATAAATCAAAATATTAGTAAATTCTGGGAAATGAAAGAAATACCAAAAAAACTAATTTTAAGTAAAACTGAGAAAATGTGTGAACATTATTTTATTAATACTTATTCACGTCTAGGAAGTGGACGTTTTTGTGTCAGGTTACCCCTAAAGGATACACCTGACTGTTTAGGAAACTCATACAGTAGTGCTAAAAAAAGATTATTATCTTTAGAAAAAAGATTTAAACGAAATCCATCCCTAAAATACGAATACACAAAATTCATTGATGAATATGCAGATCTTGGTCACTTGTCCGTATCATCCACTAGTATACCTCAAAATTCTTATTTTTTATCTCATCATGCAGTCTTAAAAGAAAGCAGTGAGTCGACTAAATTGCGGGTAGTGTTTGACGGCTCTGCCACATCTTCATCTGGCTTTTCACTAAATGACATATTAATGGTTGGTCCTAACATGCAGGACTCCCTCTTTTCCATTTTAATAAGAAGTAGACAATACAAATATATTTTA